CTCTGACAGAGCTAAACCGCGCACTGCGCTATGCATTTGCAGTACGACACGTGCTCACTGCATCTGCATGCAACTGTCTCTCTTCAGTATATGAGCCTTAATAGGACCGGTAAGTAATAACCTCAATTTGTGCTACGTTGATATGGAACGTACATACCCTTGGTTACAAGTAAAGCGCAGTTCTCAAGCCGTACAGCTAGAATATCACTAACGATGAGCGACAACTTTCTTTGACATTCACGATTGCAACCTGCACGTGTAATTGTACCGAGGGCATCGGCCAGGAGGCCTTCTCGAGTACTATTAAACAACTTTTGTGAAATACACATTTCCTTCTTCTTCGAGCAGAGCCGGGATAGCTCAGTCGGTATAGCTGGATGGCCGGGGTTCAATTCCTGGCAAAGATAAGTTTTTTCTCTTCTCCATAGACCCCAGACTGGCCCTGGAGCCCACCCAGCCTCATATCCAATGGATACCCGCGGCTGTCTCCCCCGGGGATAAAGCGGCAGGAGCTTGAAGCTGACCACTTACATCCATCTAGTGCCGAGGTCAAGAATGATGGAGCTATAATTTCACTTCCACGTACGCCTTCATGGCGTGATACGTAAATGATTAAGCACAGGAGAAACTTTTCATTTTACCTTCCTCGAGCAGTATAAAATTTCAGAATTCCATGGGTGAGGCAGTTCCGTGATACTACTGAAATTATATTAATTCATGGAGACGGGACAGAATGATGCCTGGAGAGAAGAAGCCGGCGAAGAGGTACTTATTTTATTGCCACTTCGTTTAACACAAATTCCACCCGGATCGCTCTGGGGTTGAAGTCGCACCTTGGAAGCTGATATTTAATCTGGTCACGGGATTCCTTTTACAGAATTGAAAGTTTCATCACCATGTTTACATGTTGGTTCATATACCGATCCATTTAAATTCACCTGACAATTTCCACAAAATTTCCCGAACATCATTTTAATGTCGTAGACATTTCTCTGTGACAGCGTAGTCGGTATAGCGACTGGCTACGGGCTGGACGACTGGGGGGTCGGAATTCGAGTCCCGGTAATGTTAAGGATTTTCTCTTCTCCAAGTCGTCCAGACAGGTTCTTGGGTCCACCCAACCTCCTATCCAATGGGTACCTGGGAGTCTCCCTCCGGGAGTAAAGCGGCCGGGGTGTGAAGCTGACCGCTCACCTCGAACTAGTGCAGAGGTCAAGAAAATATGCATATATACATCCACTCCCGCATACTCCTTCATGGCGTAGTGCTTAATTCGTTGAACACAGGGACAACTTTACCTTTTTTTTTTTTGCTTTAACACCCTGTTCAAAAGAACCATCAATACGTATGTTATTTTTTACAGCGAGAGAAGAAATTTTACGCCCATATGAAAGAGTATGTAGAATCATATTTTTTATTGCAAAGTTTTTCAGAGAAGACACGCAGATACAATGAAATTGTGAGCTGAACAGTCCAGGCATGTGCCCATAGCGCGTTCTAATTTCATCGTGAATATGGTTCCGACTTTTTACTGTCATTCCAAAGTCCTTCAACGTTTGATACACTATCAAAGTGTTTATTAGTAATCCTTATATTATGATTTCCTGCTGTGGGCATATCCTGACGACCAGACATTTTATTTCCAGACCAACCTCCTAAGTAGCTTCAAATTTTATTTTTATTATATCCAGGCCTATTAATCCTTATTATATATAGCTTGTGACAAAGGCATAAAGTTACGGTTTTTTTATGATTGCTATTCGCAGGTAATGGCAAGACATTAAACCTATTATACCCAAAATGAAAATGTTCGATATGAACTGAAGCGTGTAGTGTATTAAGTTCGAAGAAATAACAGTCTGCTTGCTACAGGGAACAGACACAGGCTGCGTAAGCACTGGAACGGAGCAATAAATTGCGCATGGAACGCGACAAATCCAGAACAACATTCTAATGAGAGTTGTGTACTTTTTTATAGTATACATATTTTCACGTAATAAATTCTACCATTAACTAAATAATAAATATTACAAAACAGAACTGCGTTTACACTTTTCGGGTATACAGAAATTTTAAAATCCTTTAAAATCCACCCAGCCGTGCTGGCTGACTGCTGAAATGACGTTTAGAAAACCGGAGAACCAATGGCTCCTTGTTTGATATCCTGTCTGTGTGCATACATCTCTCTCTGCTCTCGTCTCCGTTCATCTTTGGCTGCCGCTGCTGCAGTCTGGTCGGCTTCATTCATTGATGGTGCCTTGGACACGTCACACTCCCTTCGCATGTGTCTGTCCAGCCAGACTGTCTGGTCATTCAAACCGAAGTAGTCCAAGGACGCCCACTACGTACATGTATGAGCAACAACAAACCTAACATCTTATTTATGGTTTAATTTTATTGTTTTACAGTTGGTTTATCTAACGACGCCTTCTCAACTATATAGGTTATATACTGTCAATGGGAGGATGGCTGAATAATGAAGTAAAGGATGTTGAATAGTTACTTATTTTCAGGTACTGTGTTCTATACTTCACCTGAAGTGACTGAGGAAAATATAAATCCACGCATGCTATTGCATCAACTAAATTCTTGCAGACAGAACGAATGATTGGCGACAGAGAGAGAGAGAGTTGATGATGGGCCTTAGAAAGATCGTAGAAACCTCGCTCAAGATAGCCTGGACGATATCTATCCTGACAAACGCTTCGCGGTTTTCTTCGGTCTTCCTAGTACATGTTAAGACCGTCATCCTTTAGGGAAGGTCATGACAACTCTTTCATCACACATAGTCATCCTATGTAACCAGTTCATTTCAGAAAGCAGCGTTGAACAAAAAAGAAGATTCTGCGAGGTGCAGAAAGAAGGCTATAGGAAGAAAACTGCATCATTGCTTAATAAACAGGTTAAGAAATTGCTTGTCTACTCTTCGCCAAATGCTGACATTATGATTATGAAATCAAGGACGACAGGACTGACATGACACGTGGTAGCTTACACATGGAGAGACTGAGAGGCTTACACACGTTTCTGGTCGGAAGGCATGCAACAAATATACCACGTGGAAACCTCCAGCATCTGGGAGAATAATATTAAAA